CAGACCTCTACTCACCTCCAGTCATTACTGCACACTCTTACACACCCATTTTTTTCGCGATGCTTATCTTCAATGGAATCCCTCATGGAAAAATCATGATTCTATTTCAGCCATAAATCACTGGCTTGAGACTCATCATCCACGATAAGAATGAAAAGAACAGAAAAATTGCATTTGTTTTGGTAAAAAAATTCGAAAAATCGAAAGGGCTGCTACGCGTTCAAAGTACCGCCGGACGTCTGTCACAAATGCTGGCGACGGGATGCTTCCACTTGGTTCTTGGAGTGCCTTCACTAGAAACTCTTTCTGGCCTTCTGCTTTATTGCATTCACATCTTCACACTTCTACTCCATCCTATTCTATCGATCGATTTGTCTCTACTCTCCGAAATCGCGCGCTTTAACCCGATTCTTTCCATGCCCCGCCTTTGGCTCCGCCCGATTACCTTCGATTGTCCATAGTGTAGTTTTTGTACGTTTGTTTCTCTTCGGAAACCGAATCTTCATGCGTGAAACTTTGTGTGCTATTTCCAGTGATCACAACTGACACATTCATGTTGAGAAAGAATGCAAGAATTTTCCGCGAAGGATTCCTTTATGTCCTCGCGTACCCGGAAGCAGGGTCAACCGTGACGTTCGCACATTTTCAAAAATTTCGCGCGCGGCCCCCCACCACGACCCAATAATGATTAAGGATTCTACCTACTATAAAGCGCTTCGTCTGTCGTTCTGTCTGTCGTCTGTCGTTCTGTATGTCTGTCACGAAATTCCCTAGCTCCTCGGGATCCGCCTGGAGAGACCGGGTCAAGTGTGGGATGGGTGGGCAAGGTCTCGCGAAGTACAAAACACACATCAGCTAAGCGGAGCCCCGCCCACAGTGGGCGTGGCGTGCATCGAAATGAGTGGTACTGACGACCAGGATTTCAGATACTATACCAAAACAGCCTCGAAACTGGGGAAAAGTAGGTAAAGGTGTGCATTGCTAACTCAGCCGAACCAAGGAGAACCACACCCGTTCTCAAAAAGCAGTGCTTAATAAAAAAAATTGACTTAAGTGGAAGAGTTTGTGATAGGAATTCATAACTCGGTTCCGAGAAGTCCTAGAGACCGGAAAAAAGTGAGTCCGTCAACGGAAGGGAAGTCAACTGCTATTGGTGGGTGGGGCGTGCATCAACGTGGCGGAATTTGTCCTAAACGTATAATTCAGTTCCTAGCAGTTAGTAGCAGTTGGCCCCTCCTCCACTGATACATGCCCGCTGACAGTTGACCTCCGCTCCTCCACCCATCTCTATCCACCTTTTCCGGCTCCCTATGACTCTTCCTAATTATAAGGACTTGTAGAAAACGCTGTACACTTCAAAGCGCGCTCCGCCCATTGTGGGCGGCCTCCAACCTCGCCATGTATGCCGGAAATACCTTAGACATTGCTCCCCTGCACCAATTTGTTTTCTGCTCTGTAGGCCTTCTCCCAACCAAGTTCATCAATTTTTTTGTTAAGCACTGCTTAATTTGAAAACGCCCCACCTGCCGGGTGTGGTCTTGGTCTCCGCCAATTTCGAGGCTGTTTTTGGTATAGTATCTGAAATCCTGGTCGTCAGTACCACTCATTTCGATGCACGCCACGCCCACTGTGGGCGGGGCTCCGCTTAGCTGATGTGTGTTTTGTACTTCGCGAGACCTTGCCCACCCATCCCACACTTGACCCGGTCCCTCCAGGCGATCCCGAGGAAGCTAGGGAATTTCGTGACAGACATACAGAACGGCAGACGACAGACGGCAGACAGAACGACAGACGAAACGCTTTATAGTAAGTAGGATCCTTTATCATTATTGGTTATATGCAGCTGACGGAGTGGCAAGAAGCGGCGTTTTCCACACGCACGGCCAGGGGATCGAGTAATCGACCGCACGCCAGTCCAGCCAGCCTTCTATCACTGCGAGTTCAGTAGATTAGCTCTGGAGTTGTCGAGGAAGTAAATTCGATGACTTGAATATCAGCTGTTTACCTTTTTTCGAATGATAATTGAGCTTTAGTATTATAGTAATCGATGAATAGTCAATTGAGAGAGATGCGGAGGTTAGCGGGTCGGCGAGGCGCACGTGAATCGCACGTGGCTTGGAAGACGATCGGCAATGGGGAGAAAAAGGTGAAAAAACAAAGTTTCGTGTGCAACCTGTGTTGTACACCATTCGATAGTATTTTTCATGGGAAATCGAATGATGCCCATTTCAGATTCCAAAGTCCATCTGGACAAGCAAAAAAACTGATCATTTCACAAGGTGATGAACAGTGATGTTTGGGGCCACACCACGGAAGGAACGCTCATCTGCGACCAAATATTTTACATGATTCCTACAGAGAAGTAACTGGAGTCTACGTCGGTGGAGAGATTCCTCGCTATCTTCTCAGGTTTCCGCAAATCATCTCCTCTAAATGTGGGGAATGTCACATAATAGGTCTACTACTACTGCTGGAAACTGTTCGAAGATTCTCATTTGGAGTGGAAGAATGGGTTGATCAGCGCACGGTTAGCCAATTAGCGCTCTAGAACGAATTAAAGATCGTGAAATTCGAAAAAACATTCATTCAATCTCACAATATGGTGGATAGATTGTGTACGTGGCGTATTCTGAGGCAAGTGTTGAGATCCATCCTTCTGTGGAATATGTAGGCTGCAAAGGAGGACTTATATGCGCATCACATACAAAGTATATTCATTACTTCTCGGGATGGAAGTCGAGTGCATGGCGCAATCCTAGATGAAGCTCTTTCAAAAAACGAAATATAGATCGGCTGGTATACCTTCAAGTCGCGCGAACCATTTTCTTCAAGAGTTATGGCGAGCCGACGGTTTGCGACGGTTTCCGACCCGTCGCAAACCGTCGATTGAACAAAAATTAGTAGCGGTATTGTATGAGTAAACTGACATTTTGATAAAAATGAGTGCTATCTGTTGGGATACACGGAATGCAGCCCAATTCATTTCAGGAGGGGATGAGGGGATCTGACAAACAAATTCACCTTTCCTGGCTAAATTCATGAATCCTAGTTGTAAGCAAATGAATTTTTGGAGGATCTTACTCTGAAATATACAATACGTCGCCAGTGAAAAGTGTGCCGCGACGCGGTCATGGAGCATTTCCACCGCTGCGACGCATTGTATAAATCTACAAAGTTCGCCACTTTTCATTTTGATTTACTGTTTCTGTACTATGAATATTTTGTTAGTATATTTATAGCACCCTCTAATCACTGCTGACCAAGAAATACGTAACAATAAAAAGCATGCGCAGATCCTCCCCTTACTTCAACATGTCCACCTTCACCGCCACACTTGTGCCGCAGAGTGCGAGTATTGGCCTTCTCAGAGAAGGCTAGTATAATTTCGCTTCTTATTTGTGACAACAATTAATAACCTCTTGACCAAGTACTCCACTGAGCCGTCACATTCAAGGAAGGAATTCACGATAAGGACGAAGGTCAAAGAATGGGAGAACTTAATCATAGTTGGGAGACAGGCGGACCTCCTGAGGGTGCTGACTGACGCGCAATTGGCAGCGAAAGATTTGACCTCGGCGATCTAGCATGGCTCACTCTTGGCGCGGTTGGCGGGGTACGCCCACCGACTATCTAATCACTCGCCGCAGGTCTATACGTGGCGAGTGATTAGATAGCAGAGAGAGCGTAGTGTTGAAGAGGGCACAGCGATGAGAGTCGCATCAATGCGCAAATCAACGGGCAAGGAAGGGGTCCCATTTCTCGGGTTCGGGCCGTTTCAATGGTTTCTTCTTCATCCTGCTCCACTGACCACCTCTACCCTTATTTCCAATGAGCTACTTTTCATCGTAAATTCTTTGAAAATTGTATTGGTGTAATTCATCCTACAAGCGTTTCTTTCGAAACAATCACATATTACTGTGTAGTTCCTTCTCGTGTCGTCTATTGAAGTCGAGTTCAAATTCAGTCGATTTTTTCAGGA